TAAGATGATAAACTACATCTGCGTCCTGGGTAAGACGATAAACTACGCCCAACAGCAAGGCCTCTGATCAGGAGGTTTTGAGGAGCGTGGAACCACCTTTTAATTGCTGGTGTTCTCAAGTCCAACCTGACCTGGGATAGTAGTACCTGTTAGGGTCCCAGCTATGGGCAAATAGTTAACCCCGAAACTGAGGTAAAAAGCCTTATGAAAGTGTAAAATAGGTTTTAATACCAGGAATACTTTTTCAAAAAATTATTACAGCAATAAATTTTTGAAGGAAAAAAATAATTACCAGCAATATATTTTTGAGAAAAAATATTACCAGCAATACATTTTTTTAAAAATATTTCCAACTATACATTTTTGAGGAAAAAATATTTTAAAAACTTTTTACGAAAATAAAACCATCCAAGATTGTAAATTTCCTAAAGGTTGGATTGTACTCAAAAATATGAGTAACTGAAAAATGGTTCAAATATATATGTACACATACACTTTTTTTTTTTTTTACCAAACTATCGCTATGCATCTATTTCAAAAATTTTGTTGGCATTAAATGACCCACTGAGGTTTCGATATGCCATAAAACAAAACAACCAGCCAACTAACCTGAATAAATTCAGCAATTTCATTCCACTGCGATGGCTGAGAAAACCGAATATTAATTGAAGACAAACTTTGGTCCAAAATAGAGATTTAAAAAGGCATAAAAAGTACAAGTTCACAAAAATCTTTAAAAAATAAAATATACTTTTCTGAAACTTTATTTGAGGAATATTAGCTGGTTTAAAGTTTGATTAATCTGATTTGAAACAAAGAGTACGTGCTTTTATTTTAAAATATCGTAGAAATGCATTTTTTTTTTTAATACGGGAGTACGTATTTACTTAAGGTGTTGACATGTTGGCAGCTTGGCTGACAGCCGCAAGTTTATCTATTTTTTTCTATGGTGGATATATTTGTAAGTATTACTTGAGAGGTATAAAGTGAGCGCCTTTTTTTCCTATAGTTTTTAACTCCCCAGTAATCTTGAAAATTTAGGAAAATATTCTCCGTAATTTCCTTGAAGTCTTTCTTATTTTCTGATAACGTCATGTATGAACGTCCGTATTTTCAAAAAACGGCACGTTTATACACATACCCACCAAATTAAAAATTCTTTTAAAAATATTTGGAGTCGCTAAATTGTAATAAGCTTTTCGATTTATGATTAGTAAATATAGTTTTTACTGAATAACAATATCATCTAAGCTCTATAAACTAAGACAGAATCTTGAAAGATTGAAAAATTTATTTTTAAAAAATGAAAACAATTCTTGTAAAAATTCATTACACATCTAATTTTTTTTTTACGACAATAATGTTTATAATATATAATTTATGATACTTATAATCAATTAAAAGCTTTTCCATTTAAATTATGTCTTAGTTTTATTCCATTTTTTATTTTACGTAACGGTGACTGCTAGTTCTGCTTTACTAAAAGGAATTGATGTATTAAATTCTCCATGGTGTTCTGGTTTTAATTAATATAGACGTTAAGAGGGACAACATTTAATTTTTCGAAATTTGATCAAATAAAATAATTAGTGGTGTGGTTTTAGATAATTTATTTATTGTGAATAAGTCCCGGTATTTTGATTAAAATTAGACAATTATTTCAACCGAAATTTAAAATATTCTAAAACAATTAAAAAAATAAAATTTAATAATCTCTCCCCTTAATAATAACATAAAGATTTTGACAATAAAAATTGCTTTTATTAATTTGTGGGTATTTTCTCATCATGGTATGCTCATTTTTCAGCGAATGAGTAGAATGGAAAATTAAAATATTTTGTTTATTAGAAATATTAAATATAATTTATTATCTTTAGATTAAAATTAAAATAAAATCTTCAAGAAAGAAATTTAATTTTTAAAAAATTCATTTTAAACCTTAGATATTGTGAATCTGTAATTGACTAATAAAAAGAAAATATCAGTTTCATTCTATTATTTTTTGTAATTAGGATTCCAAGACATTTCTTTAATGAATCCTAATTCAGAAATAAATAAATAATGTATCAAAGCGACCATAAATCAAAAGCAAATGAATAAATACTGTATTTACGAGGTAAGCCTTATTCATAAAAATGCAGTATTTCTTCACAATTCTTTATTTTTATTGAATGTTTTAAAGGAATATTTTGCTTATTGGAAATTAAATTTAACCTGTTAGCTTGGAATTAAAACTAAAATGAAAACTTCAAGAAAGATTTTTTTCATTTTTTAAAATTTCATTTAAACTTTAAATATCTCCTTTCTCAGGTGGTAACTCGTTTTATGTAATTATTTTAGGTTGAACGAGTGTTTCTTTAAGAAAGGTTATCGTCTGTAATAAAAAAAAATCAATTTCATAATATTATTTATAATTCCAGAACGTTTCTTTAATGAATTTTCATTCTAAAATAAATAAAGTATCAAAGCGATTATAATTCAAACGCAAATAAATAAATATTGTATTTACGAGGCAACTTTTATTCATAAAAATGCTGTATTTAATCACCATTATTAATTTGTATAACATATCTATCTAATAATAAAACTATTATTAGATAGTTATTAAAATCATCATTAAAATTATTAATAATTATAGGAAATGTAAATATAAAAATATATATATTTTTTTATTTAATGTATATTGCTTCTAGTGGGATTTCGTCCGTTTTTCAACTATCGATAGCCACTTTTTTGTCACGTCCAAACTAAAATTATTAAAAAAAAAAAAAAAAAAGAACTTGCAGCTTCTATTTCGAAATTCCGCCATAACTTTATAAGAACTATTTTCACCGAGTGGGAACTTGTATTGTCAAGGTACCTAGTTTAGTCTTTTTGAGACAAAGTTTCAGATTAAAGAACAAGGCAGTCGGAAGGCGAGACACAGAAGACTAATGTCACGGTTAATCCGTTTTAAGAAATAAAAAATGGACGTATTCGGACGAAAAAAGAATAAAGAACGCAGAATGACGTCATAGTCTGCGAAAAATCTTTTAATCGTCAGTTGTGCTGAATTTAATTTGTAATGTACGAAAATGTAGGGAGAAAAAATGGAAATGTTGGTAAGATAATGTGGGGCAGAAAGCAATGCCTGGGGCCCCCAGTCATGCTTGTCGGGGGTGTTCGGAGGGCATAACGCACCGGCCCTCGTTACTATTACCTTTCTCAGTCCCTATTTCATATTCTTTTTCTTTCTTTCATTCTTTCTTTCTTTTTCTTTCTTTCGACAGTGTTTCTTTCTTTTTTCTTTCTTTCCATCTTTTTCCAGTGATTCTTTCTTATTTTTTCTTCTTTCTTTCTTTCTTTCTTTCTTTCTTTTTCCAGTGATTCTTTCTTTCTTTCATTCTTTCTTTCTTTCTTTCATTCTTTCTTTCTTTCTTTCTTTCTTTCTTTCTTTTTTCTTTTTCCAGTGATTCTTTCTTTCTTTCTTTCTATCTTTTTACAGTGATTCTTTCTTATTCTTTTCATCTTTCTTTCTTTCTTTCTTTCTTTCTTTCTTTCTTTCTTTCTTTTTCAGTGATTTTTCTTTCTTTCTTTCTTTCTTTCTTTTCTTTTTTCCAGTTCTTTCTTTCTTTTCTTTTCCAGTTTCTTTCTTTCTTTCTTTTTTCCAGTGATTCTTTCTTTCTTTCTTTCTTTCTTTCTTTTTCCAGTGATTCTTTCTTTCTTTCTTTTTCCAGTGATTCTTTCTTTCTTTCTTTCTTTCTTTCTTTCTTTCATTCATTCTTTCTTTCTTTCTTTCTTTCTTTCTTTCTTTCTTTCTTTCTTTCTACAGAGACACCTTTTTTATTTTTTCTACAGTGATATATTGTTACATGTTTGATGATGATGATTCTTTTATATTGTATACATGTTATATGTTTTCGGCAAAACATCACTAGCATTCGCGATCGGGTTATTTAAATTAGAATTTTCTTGTTTCGGGGGAAAAATGTCAGGCAGAAGCTAATATAAACTTTAGACTTCTGTAAGCGACGGCATTGATGTTCCTGATGATGGCTGGTGATGGTTGAAAGTACCTTTTTTCCAACGAAATGTAAATGCTCTCTAGAATGGTCATGCTAGTGGGAATTTTTTCAACTTCTAAAATAAGCGTGCTGGTTCATATAAAAATTCCGATAGAACTTTTGGTTACTCGAACAAAATAATCGTACCGCAGAGAGAGTTATTTAAAAAATATAATAATTGTTTCGTACAAAATAAGCATTATGCCGGGTGCATTTGGGGGTGCGTCTGGGGGAGTGTATTAAGAAAATTGGTGCTTGTTTTTGGCACACAAGATTTCTAAAATAAAATACTTACGGCGACACCACGTAGAAAAACTGCATCCCGTACGATCACCGAAGTCAAACCTGGTCAGTAGCTAGATGGGTGACCTCTTGGGCGTAAAAGGTGCTGTAAGTTTAGATGTGTGAGTGGTGTAATTGTTAACGGCTGCGAATTGTTAATCGGAGAGCCGAGTTCCAATTTCCATTACGCACAATCATCTTTGGGAAAAGTTATGACTCCACTTATCCCCCGAGAGCAATGGGATATTTAATGAGACTTGTATCAGTAATTAATTATTATTTAAAAAAAAAAATTCTTACAATTTAAAAAATATTTCCTAGCTTTAGATAAGCTGCAATCGGTTGATAAAATGTAAAAAACGAATGAGTAAAATAAAAATATCATAAACCTTGAACATTTTCTCCGTAAATTGTATTCAGATGTGCGACAGCTTATGCGCAAACTGGAAAATGTTATCCAAAAATTTTAACATACAACCCTTGCTGGTCGATTTCAATAAAACCTGTTTGAATGAGAGAATATATATATATATATATATATATATATATATATATATATATATGTCTGTAAAGGTTTTGGTACCTCGTTCTGGAAGCTATGGCGGCTGTCATAGACTAGATCACATTCCCACGGATCAATTAGCTTTTCAGTAATTACCATTCGCTAATTAGTCCATGTCAAGTCACAGATGTTGTCTCAATTCTGTATCCGCCATCTTCCCACACGGCTGCCTTGGCTTTTCGTCTTTTCTTTTCTATATTTTTTTCTTTTTCTTATTATTTCTAATGTTTTTCTTATTTCTTCAACTTTTCCTTGTCCCAATTTTTTCTTATTATTTTTTCATTATTTTCTCTATATCCTTTTTTTTTCTTTCCTTGGGTCTATCATTTTTAGCTGTTTGTTTTTTTTTTTTTGCACTTTTATCTATTCATATCATCTTTCTTTCTTTTCACATTTTTCTTTCTTTTTTTTTCTTCCCTTCTTGTTCTATTACTTTTCTTAAAACATTATCCTTCATTATACCCCCTCCTTTTCAAGCAGTTATTCTTATCCTTTCTTTTTAATAGAGCTTTCTTTCTTTCTTTTTCCTTCCTTCTTTCTTTCATTCTTTCTACAACGATTCTTTTTTCTGCAGTCATTCTTTACTTTCTTTCTTTTCTTTCTTTCTACAGTGATTTTTCATTTTTCTTTCTTTCATTCGTTCTATAGTGATTCTTCTTTCTTTCTTTCTTTCTTTCCTTCCTTCGTTCTTTCTTTATTTCTTTCTTTCTTTCTTTCTACATTGATTTTTTCCCTTTTTTGTTTCTTCTTTCTTTCATTCTTTATACAGTGATTCTTTCTTTCTACAGTGCTTTTTCTTTCTTTCTTTCTTTCTTTCTTTCTTTCTTTCTAGAGTTATTCTTTCTTTCATTCTTTCTGCAGTGATTCTTTCATTCTTTCTACTGTGGCCCTTTCTTTCTTTCTTTCTTTCTTTCTTTCTTTCTTTCTTTCTTTCTTTCTTCAATGATTCTTTTTCCTGCAGTGATTCTTTCTTTCTTTCTTTCTTTCTTTCTTTCTTTCTTAACTCTTTTCTCCATACTAACATTTACACACTTTTCTCATATCTTGCTAACCTTTCTGCCTCCTCTCTCTCGCCTTCTTTCTTTCTTTCTTTCTTTCTTTCTTTCTTTCTTTCGTTCTACAGTGATTTTTTATTTATTTATATATTTATTTATTTATACAGTGATTCTTTCTTTCTTTCTTTCTTTCTTTCTTACTTTCTTTCTTTCTTACTTTCTTTCTTACTTTCTTTCTTCTGTGATTCTTTCTTTCTTTCTTTCTTTCTTTCTTTCTTTCTTTCTATAGTAATTCTTTCTTTCTCTCTTCAGCGATTCTTTCTTTATTTCTTCCTACGATGATTCTTTCTTTCTTTCTTTCTTTCTTTGTTTCTTTCTTTCTTTCTCCATTCCTCACATATATCAGCCTGGCTTTCGCCAGATTCGATCCTACTGTTTGCCTCCTACTATTTTCTGGGCTACTAAAATAAAGAATTAACTCCAGAATTTTAACGATCGCTGTTCTCCACAATGTCCTGTCTTTTATATCCCTTAATAATTTCTTATTTCCTTTTAGTCATCTTTCCTAAATCTTGTTCCGCCATCTTTCTACTCAAACTCACCAGTTAGCTTACACGTTGCTTTCCTCTGTCACTCTTTCCTTAAGTCAATAATTTCGATTGTCTCTTCCTGATGTTAACCTGATGATATAAGAAGGCAGTTTTCTCGTATTTTATATATATATATATATATATCACTTTTTTTTGGGGGGGGGGCATAGATGTAAATCCCAAGTGAACTTCAAGTGCCGTTTTTTTGAAGCTGCTTAATCTTAGGAAACGTTTCACGCAAACCGTCGCGGACGCATTCAATTCTTTTTCATTTTACTTCCGTATTCGGTCTGAGGAATCGGAGAGCCGAGTTCGAATTCCAGTCGAATCCATTATATTCATTTACGTGCTAATACCCTTGGGAAAGGCATGAATCCACTTCTTCTAAGGCTGTGTGTAAATAGCAGGATAAACTGGGTTCTATAGCCTTCGATGGCAACTGGTCTATTGCAGAAAGAAATGGCAACCTACTGCGGGGAAAAAAAACTGCCTCGTCAGTCAAGTATCAAAAGGTATCGCCTAAGCATGTATCACGCATGGCACATAACTGACTTATAACGAAGCATGTTGTAGGAATGGATTGCGGATTGGATTGAGGAATCGGAGAGTCGAGTTCGAATTCCAGTTGAATCCATTACATTCACTTACTTGCTAATACCATTGATATTATTCTCCCCACTAGCTATGGGTAAATAGCGGGACAAACTAGGTTCTATAGCCTTGGATGTTAACTGGTCTACCGCAGAAAGAAATGGCAGCCTACTGCGGGAAAAAAAATATGCCTCGTCAGTCATGTATCGAAAGATACATGATCGCCTAAGCGTGTAACACGCATGGCACTTAACTGACTAATATAAGCAAGCAATTCTTACCGCTAGATGTTTAGATTGAATGATCAATTGATTTCTTTAGTGGCATATCAATACCTTATGGCTCATTTAATGCTGGAATTTAATTTTCGTGGGAGTTTTGGAGCAATAAAAAATGATATAGGTTATTGTACTTTCACAATTGAGTACATGGTAGATGATACCCTGTTTTTGTGCATATAAATGTTTGTTAGGATATCATTACTAGAGGCGGTGATATGTGTGTTTTATGTTGTAGCTTTGTTGAAGTTATATTTTGGAATACAGTTTGATTTTTAAAAAAATTGTAGGATATTATATGGATTAATGTCATGAAAGTATTCTTTCATGTTAGTTGTTTGGTTGGTTGATTTTGTTTACCAATCTCTGTGGATTATTTAATGCTGAAATTTAAATATTTCGAAATAGTTTTATGGCTTCAACTACAGATAAAATGTATTGTTGGTCATTTTGCTATAAAATTTATTGTTAGTAATTCTGCTTTGAAAATGTTTCGTTGGTAATGTGTTATAGTGGAACACACTTATTCTATAGTTAATAGATTCTCCCACCTATATGTAGGAGTAGTAAGAGTAACGAGTGAGTCGCTCGGAGATCCCACGTTAAACCGGCTTTGTGCCACATGATGCCCTCGTGGTGGGGGTGACTAAATACCGTCGCTTAGTGGGTTTGGTCATTCAGTCGATGCTGGACGACCGTTAGTCGGATACTAAAGTATCAGCGACTACAACTAGATTACTCTGCGCCATTACCTATTATATCAAGTTCCTAACATTTTGTACGTCGAACCTATTTTAGGAACGACTTAGTACAAATACAAGCCTCCACTGTGCAAACCACTCCATAACATAATGTTTTTATATAAATAAAAAATAAATCTTTTTATATGATAAAATATTTCTGGTATTTTTACTATAAAAAATCTATTGTTATACTTTCATAGTGTTTTGTTTGAGGATTCATTATTTGCATATAGCTAGGACTTTAACAGGTACTACCACCCCGGGTCAGGGTGGGAACAACAGCAATTAAGAGGTGGTTCCACGCACCTCAAAACCTCCTGATCAGAGGCCTTGCTGCTGGATGTAGTTTATCGTCATACCCAGGATTACTAAATGATTTAGAAATAATATGCAATTAATTAATTTTATGTCAGGGGCTCCTGTTATATACAGGGTGTCCATAAATTTCGTGTGCACTTTAAAAATTTATAAGTGTATGTATTTGCGATAGAAATAATCTGTAAAAAATGTTATAAAGTTTAATGTACCTAGTTTTAAGGATAGTTATTGAATAATTCCTTACCACAAAATTTGCAACAATTTTTAGATAAATAAAAAAAATATTTTCTTTTTTCTTGAATCAATTTGATCCATGGCTTCAACTGAGGTAAAAGTAAACTGTGTCCTTTGGTTGGCTGAACTGAAATCTACTATTGCTGTACAAAGAAAGTTTAGAATTGAATACAATAAAGAACCACCTCATAGGAACACTATTGCTAAATGGATGAAAAAATTTAAAGAGACAGGTTCCGTCCATGATAAACCACGGTCTGGAAGGCCATGTATCAGCAACGAAAGTGTTGCATCCATAGAAAAATCCTTTACAGCAAGTCCAAGAAAGTCTGTAAGACGTGCATCATTAGAGCTCAAGCTCCCAAAGTCTAGTGTGCATAAGATTCTGCAGGCAAAACTTCACATGAAAGCTGACAAAATTCAACTACATCAACAGTTGTTAGAAGAGGATTATTATGCATGGTTAACTTTCTGTCATCAGTTCAATGAAAAATTTGGCAATGACGATGCATTTGTGAGTAGTTTAATGTTCTCTGATTGAAGCAACATTTCACATTAGTGGCAAGGTCAAACAGACATAATTGCCGAATTTGGGGAACTGAAAACGCAAATGAAACTGTTGAACATGAAAGGGACTCTCTTAAAAGTTAATGTGTCGTGTGCTTTGGGGAAAAATCGGATCATAGGGCCATATTTTTTTTCAATATCGTGTTATTAAGAGTGACAGCTATTTAGATATGCTGCAGAATTACTTTATTCCGCAGCTTGAACAATTAAACCTGAAGTATAATACAGTGTTTCAACAAGATTGAGTTCCTTGTCACTTTTCTCTGCGTGTTAGAGAGTTTCTAAATCAGGAATTCCCTAACAGATGGATCGGAAGGGATGGACCATTTTATTGGCGTTCACGTTCGCCAGATTTGACTCCATTAGATTTTTTATGGGGACATGTGAAAACAATTGTGTATGCAACCAAACCTAGTTCATTAGAAGATATGAAAGCTAAAATAGCTAATGTGATTTCAGGCATTACTGTAAATCAGGTGGCAAATGTTTTCCGTGAACTGCAAAATCGTATTACCCTTTGTATTGCTAATGATGGAGGACATGTGGAAACTTAAATAAAATTTCAATAAAACCTTAAAAAAAATATAGATTTAATTCTTTCTAATCCTTTTCACAAATTATTTCTATCGCAAATACAACGTTATAAATTTTTTAAAGTGCACACGAACTTTATGGACAGCCTGTATTTAAAGATTCTTGATAAAATCCGAAGAAGAATCAGCAATATTATTGATTCTGACCTGGCATCTCGGCCTCAGTCATTTTCCCGCCGCTGTAACTTAACTTCTCTGTGCCTTTTCTATAAATATCTTTATAATAATAATTGTTCGGATGAACTTTCCTCTGAGGTATCTAGACTTTAATGAATTTAAGCGCTGTATTAGGCTGGCAACAAGGTACCATCATTGGCTAGATGTAACCGTAAGTTCTATGCTAACGGTTTCTTCTTCTCGCACTTCTCGTTTGTGGAATTCTGTTCCGTCTCCATACTTCCGAGCCTACTTTGATCTTCAAATATTTAAATGCAATGTCAATCGTTATCTACTGTCTACTTGATTGCTCTTCTATTGTTCTCTCTACTTAATATTTCTCTTTTTGTTGTTGTTGTTGTTGTTATTCTTTCACACCCAGTAACCCCTTGTATCATAGTGGCTTTACTGTCTTCCATGGGGTGAAATGAGTAATAAAAAAAGACACTCTACGAACGCTACTAGTACTATGTTAGCCCAATATTACTTGCCCATATTTTTCTGGTACCGGGGTGGCTAGACACCTAACAAGATTAAAAAAAACAGGGCATATCAAACGGCGTACGAACCTTCTTGTAGTTCCACCGGCCTTCTTGCACGCTGGGGTAGACTGGACTCCGCTGCTATGGATGCAGTTAGTAAAGTGATGAAACGGCATTCTTAGACGGAAAACAATATTCAGTTCAGAAGGTTGCCTCGTTAGCGTCAACGGTCACGTGACCGTGACCAAGGTGAGCCTTCAAATTAAGGGGCATCGGCTGTGGTTTGATATGGAAAAGGATGGGCTCCCTTTCGACCCAGATATTAGGAGCGAGCCAGACAGGTGCTCGGTTGCGCAGCGAGCCTGAGGCCACACTTTATCACAGATAACTGAAATTTTTCAAGATCAGCGTTCCGTTTAAATATGATCACGTCGGCGTCACGTGGGCGATGTTGTGAAAACGTATTCCTAAAATAGAGTATTTTAAATGAAAAATGAAAAGAATTTTATTTTAATCTAAAACTTATATGTACGTTTGTCGAGCATTAATCTTGCTAGAAAAGGAGAAATATTAAAGAAGCCGGGTCTAGTATTCACTAAGAATTAAATATAGTCTAATGTTAATTATGTTTTATGAATATGTCTTGAAGATGGTCTACTAGACCGAAACGTCCGACGTTGACATTATATTAACATTAAAACCGCATAATTGCAATTTAGGATTTCTGTTTGTTTTTT